TACTTAATAAACCTCTTTTTTCCTTCTCTTTGATCTTTTTAATCTTGGCCCTATTGTTCATTCGAATGCATAAAAGCCACTTCTATTTGATGATTTAACTTGTATTTCCTAAATGTTAATAATCAAGAACACTCTATGTTATAGGTTTTGCTGCACTTTTCCAGTTATTTAATTATAGATACATAATAAGCTCCTACTGAAAAAAAACCACTCTCTCACTCATCTATCGGTTTTTCTTTTTGTTTTTCAAAACAAAACTCCCTTGCCTTAAAAGGATAATCTTGCTCCAGCCTGGAATCTGATCCCGCTACCTGTTTGTACTTGCTCATTTTCATTTGGCGATTCCTCTCTTCTACATCCATAGCACCTGTTAGTAAAAAGAAAAAGAAAGAAATAAAATAAATACACAAGTAGTCTTCAATTCCAAGTTTAACGTTATGTTCATGGAATTTCTAACAGAAAGAGATGAAATCTCAGTGTATGTAACTTTAACTATGTAATTTCCGAATTACAATTTTGTGGAAAAATGGATCAAAAAGTTATAAGAAGAGGAGAATAGTAGATGAGTTAGCATTTCCACAACATCTGAATAAGTGTTGCATTATCTACAAAGTTCAAATGAACCTGACTTTGTTAAGGAAAGGAACGTAAATGGAACAGAATGTTTTCACAGGATAGCATTTTACTATTACAAAAGTATTCAACAGAAACTGAATCATTCATTTACAAAAAATAAAGAATGCAAAGAAAATCTGTTTATTTTGGATGGAGATCCTGGTTCATCGTTTGTTATAGTAGAATACCAGCACTTGTATCAAACTACTAATCAGGTAAGGGCCACAGGCTGGCATAACTTCCCTTTACCGTTACTTAATATGCTCAGATTAATTTAAAAAATGTTTAAAGGGATGTTAAAGAGCCACCCAGTGGTATCGCTATATTACATTCTAGTGACACACAGCTTCAAGAACAATTTCAGTTCAGTTAAATACTAAATACATGATTAGTCTCCGTTAGAGGTGGGTGTTTACAATGCTATTCAGGTATCAAATGTTTTCAGCCAACTGGTACTGTAATACCATGATTTACTTTCTAAAATAATGAGGAAGAAAGTGCCAAAGCAGAGATCAAAGTGTGAGAAATAGAAATAGAAAAATGAGAAGAAGATAACAAAATGAGAGGAAGATAAGAGCCTAGAATTAAAAAAAAAAAGCCTTGTAAACAAAATATAGTTATCTATTATGTACACACAAGGCGTGATTCTCTTCCACTTAATGTGATAAAAATCAAGAGTAATTCATTATTCACTGATTGCTAAAAAGCATTCATTTTGACTGACATTTATCTTATACTTTCCACATTTTTAAGGTTATCTAAGATTAAATTTTCAGAATAACAACAGCCATAAATGCGAGCTTCTGTATATTCACACTGGACAATATGGATTTTTATGTATGGAACTGGGATGGGAATATTAGTCTCCAGTATACTACATAAATCTGATTTAAACTCCAAACCTAAGTTCTAAGTGAGAACCTAACAGTAAAGTGGGGCTTTGTACGGGACCTCTGCAGAGTCCCTGAGCTTTGCATTCTCCTTCTTTACAACAGTAATGATAATACTACCCTGGGCAAGAAAGGCCTGCCAGCCAAATTGTGCAACGTCTGGAAGGGAGGGGGTGAGGAGAAGAGGGAACAGGTAAGGCTAAGCTGTACTGTTATCTAGAAACCCTTCTGGCTTCTGATTTCCTACTCAAACTCTCCATCTCTACTCCCCACAAACAACATGAACAAAAACACTTCATCAAAACCTTTCATAGAGATGTAAATCAGTATCAATGAACAAAAAGAAGAAATGATGCTTTTTATAGGGAGAGTGACAATGAAGAGAGCAGCAGATGAAAATTCCTAAAATACAATATGCCTAGTGTTTCCTATCAAAATTTCCCTCAACTATCATAGCCTTCTAAAAGCAGTATTTGCCAATGGTCACTAAGCCACAGAGTTTTTTTAATGATCTAGTTTTAAAAGCTTTAAAAAGGTATTTATAAATTTTATTTTCTCTGTTCAACATAGAAACTTTAAATGGAAAAATGATATTTTTCTTTTTTCAATAGCAGAAATAACACATTGGTGTTACTGATGAGGTAAAATACTCTAACTTCTGTTTAAAGAAAGAAATCATCTTTTGATGAAATCAGGACATTCTACGAATCCGCTTGACATTCTGTAGTATCTTTTGAAAGGGCTTGTTTTCACCAAAAGGGAAGAGATGATAGATACTATTTTAGAAATTTCGTGGATTTTTCTTACGAAGTTTCTCTTACGAAATCATCACATATGTTCTTTGTCCACAGTCGTTCTGCCATGAAAACCTGATTAAATGACAAGAAGTGGTGAAATAACACCTCTTGATCACACATTAGAAATTTCATAATTACTTGTGAAAATAGTTATTCCTATTTATGATCATTTGGCAAATGAAAATTAGCACTTTTCCATATATCCAGTTCCATGTGTTCTGTAAAACCAAACACTCCTAAATATGCAGTTGAGCAGGGAGTATAATATATAAGCCCCTAAAGCAAGTCCTCTGTAGTAAAATAGGCCTAGTCCTGACTTTGTGATCAGTCTGCATTATACTTCTGAAATACTTGAATACAGAAGAATATCAGTCTAACGTCATGTTAAAGACTTTTGTTTCAATTAATTATTCAGGCTTAGTTCAATTTATAGATTTGTGATTTGTATAGTCATATTCTGGAATATTTTCTGTTAATTTTAGAAAAGTTCACCGAGGCCTACAGTGCTTATGGATTCTGTGACATCTCGTAATCTCAGTTTTCCAGTTCTCTTCTCCAGTCTTAAAACCTCATCAGTAAAAGCAGTGAAAATTCTGTAATTTCTATTTATGCTAGTGAAAAATTTTTAATAGCAGCTGGAAATGCAAAAGGGGAAAGCTCATACCCATTTTGCTATGTTTTATAATTAGGGACAGGAAGGAAACGTGAGATGGCTAAGTCTCTGAAAAGTCAAAATTTAAAAGGTAAAATTGATGGCTTATTTTAGTCTCAAGAGAAAAACACTGTAGACAGCAAAATTTAAAATAAATTTACTCAATTCCCATAAACTTATTAAAAGAAAATCTAACTTGCTATGTTCTTTTGAAACATAACCATTAACAAACAAATTAATTCAATTATATGCAAAAAAAGGGAATCCTTGGGGCAACGGAAAGTTCATAATGCAGAAGATCAGCTTCGGTTTTGCTGTACATGGCGCTGACGTGCAGAAAGATCGTGCAGGGATATTGACTGCCGCAGGCTCATTTCATCTGAAACTAAAGCCAGACACAACCAAGATCCGGATAGGAGTAGGACAGGCTGAGAGAGTGTCATGGCCGCTTCCCTCTCACATGGGCTAGAGCGTATGCACTACTGCAGTTAAGTGATGCAAATGCAGGGCTCTAACCATCTCCTGTTCCACTGGCAAATCTATACCTAGCTGATACCTACATGTGGTGATTTAAGCAGGAGCAGAAAGTACTTCTAGAGGGTCAGTAACTGTTGGGTACATAGGAAGCTTCAGCTCCTAATACGATTTCAGTAATCAAGTCAAGACTTGACATCAGTCCCACACTAAGGACTCCACTGTAATCAGAAGGTATATATGGAGTATACGCAGATACAGATACAGCATAACTAACTCTAATCTATTAAGTATCAATAGTGGTAAAAATGTAGGAGCATAATCTCTGACATTGGTAGTAGAAGGCTGACTGAGTCCTTAGGTGGTTATTCAAGTTGTTAGCTGGAGCCCAATACAACACATTTTCAGGGCTATAGAGATCTGAACTATAAAGCTAGTTCTGATAAACTTTCCTGTATTGCCATCACATCTCAAGTTGCATGCAAATGAATTTTGGCCAGGTAGAAGTGAGTGAGCTCACTTGTACATTTCTTCTATCTTGAACTCCTTTTCAGAATTTGACTTGTAGATAACAGTAGTGGCTGCAACAGAAAAAGCCAAGGAGTCCCTCAAACGTTAGGCATAGGAATAAAAAAAAATCAAAAGAGACTGATGGAAGAACAAAGCCTGATGTTGCTAAGTGAATACAACTGTGAAAAAGGCTGGGATCATTGTACTGTAGCCGTACCTCAAAGTTTTGCTCACTTTAATTGCCTCTCCAGTGTAAAAACAAAACGTGGCCTGAAAATTAGCTCTATGGGGTTTTCTTCAGCACAGGGAAATTCCTGGCTGATGAAGAGCCAGCTGCTGATTCAGTACTACCCATTCAAAATATTTTAAAAAGAGATTATGCCAAGGGAAAGCAGCGTGATTACAGTGCAGGCAGAGTCCAGAAATGCCGGAACTGGGCCCTGGAGTGCAGTGCACAGCAGCCCTGTAACCTGTCCTTGGATCAGCAAGGGCTCACAGCAAGCACTAGAATCACTGCCCCAGCCTCAAATGCAGCCTATTATTTTCAAGTTTTATCTTGACGTAAATTTCAGCTACTTCAGCACTAGAGCTGTCGTCATGACTGAAAACTAAATGTTTGTTTTCTAATAACAATTTTAAGGGGCTGTAATCAGCTGTTCATAGAGTCACATTTTGTAACAGAGAGAAGAAGGTAGATGGGGCTTGCATGTATGCATACTCTGTGGCTGGTGTAAGAAGTACAGTATGGAAGTCCTAGGGCATAGGAAAGCCTTCTTTAGCTGTCTCTGATCTCTTTCCTCCCATTTCTCCCCCTAATTTGACTCCCTTAAACAAGGAAATGAAATACATTTGGGAAAGCCCCAAGTATGTTTCTTAGTTTCTGTTATCTAATACTTATCTGCTTAAACATACTCTGTTAAAGAACTTAAGGGAAAAATATGAAGATATTTTGAATAATCCACCCTACCTGCATCCCCATTCTCTGGATCTGCTTTCTTTTCTTCTATAAACAAATGAAAGCAATATGTAAAACAAAAAGAGAAGGAGAGAGAAAATGCAGAAATAATAATAAAAGCAACAAAAACATGCATTTAAAAGGAAAAATGAATAAAATCCAACAAATTAATTTAAACTGATGACTTTAGCCACACAACCAAGTATGGTGCTCTGCTTCCAGAGGCATATTCACTGCATGCTACTGTCTACATTTTTGCGCCCTAATGACTTACTGGAGGGAACCCAGGGGTATTTTGTGCCCTTCCAGAATCATTAACACACTCTATACAAAAGACAGTAAGGCAGGTGTCAGATGTAGTTAGTTTACAGTTCCCTTGAACAGGATGATGCACAAATAAAAGTAAAACATTAGTTTATGCTATGTGTTTTCCACAGCTTATACGCAATATGCGGTCAAGTGGTTCAAGCATAAAAAATTAATGTCTCAGAATAGCTTTCAGTAATTACTTTAAATCTTCCTCGGGATAATCAATTCTCATAGCTTCTACAGGTTAAAAGGTTTAATAACGTTATCATTGTAGCTTTTCTTAGAGCTCAAAAATGATGAAGAACAAAAGATGCTAACAGCTATACATAGAACCCAGTTTGTGCACGTAAATCCATCTAACTGATGCCAAAAAATATTCTGAATGCAAATCAAAGGTTGTATATGGCTCAGGGCACGCTTCTGTCACAAAGAAACATCGGTTCCCTATCAACTAGTTTGGCAGCGCATACACACTGCACTCTGAAATCCAAGTTCGGTAATTAATGTAAAAGAATTTTAAGTCAAATGAAATTTACTGTAATTAGAAATACATGAACTTTTAAGCAGTTTCTCTGTTTCTTCTTCTTATCATAAGCCAGAATCTTAATAATTTCAATTAAAATAATCCGAAGAATACGGAACAACTCCCTCTCACCACAAACCAAAAATAGCATATACTATTACAATTAAGTACTTTTTACCAAATTACTAGTTACTGAGGATTGCCCACAAAATTGCTATGTCGTTTATAGTACACAGACTATCACCACCGAAGAAGAAAATAGAGATGTTACATTTCAAAGAAGTACCAGTTTGTAGGGGATTATCACAGCAGAAGACTAAGTCCTAAGACCTAAAGAGAAAATATACTGGGACAAAGTAGAGGTGTAATATAGAAAAATGCGATCCCGTGCTATGCTTTGATGGGATCTGGCATTTATGTGCCATTCTATGTGGGATCAAGGTGGTTCTCCTACTGCCAACTCCCAGTGGAAATGTTAGACAAATTAATGTCAGACGTGGCAAGTCACAAACCTACACCCGTTCCCACACCTTTGGAAATCAGTAGATATCAAATGGGTTCTTGCAGCCCATTCCCCGCCCCCGCTTCCTCCTCCATTTTGTCTACAGTGCGTAAGTAATGCCCTTTGCATGCTGTCCTACTACTCTGGCCTTTGCGTAGTCTGGCCTATATTGGCCCTGTCTGGGCTGTGGATACGTGGGCTATGAAGAAGGCAGAAAAGCAGAGGTAGTTGTGTTTGCTTTTCAAGCTTTCAAAGGATTTTAAAATTGCAGTTACCAATGCAAGAACTATGAATACAACCCTGGCTTCTAACCCTGGCTTCTCCTATCTCATTACTTTCTAAAGCAAAAGTCATTTGATAGCAATACCACTGATTAAATGCGATGCAACATTTATGAAAGTGAAGTAACAGGCATTAAAATACCTTTGAGTTTGAGCAGAGACAGGATGATATAATATCTAAGTTATTTCATATATATGGTGAAAATAAATCTTTACTCTACCTGAAATAGCATCCTACTACTGAAAGCTAATAGGATAATTTATATTTTTTATTCCTTCTCTGAGATGTTTTATAAGGCCACTTGTCCATCTTTCTGGGCCACAGGACTTCTCATAAACAAAGCTTTAAATGAAGACATTGTCAAAGAAAAAGGAAAACTTGAAACAAGTCTAAGTTTCCTTTGTTCTCATTCCTCCTTTAAAAGGTACAAAACAAATCTTTCCACATTAACTCATAGAAAAGCATACCATAGTCTTGGCAAGCAGGAAACTGCTGGATTCTTGAATTATAAAGTGCAATTGAAGTGCTGTGACATTTATTACAAATCCCCAGAACAAGCAAATCCTTTAGATTTTTAAGGGAAAGGTTGGCAACAGTGGATCCTACCCTTCAAACTGAGGTTTCGGTTGTATTCTAAAGAACTGTCTGGAGAAGTGCTAGAAAGAGCAGAAGTTTGAACTGAGAAAGTTATCATTTGGGTGGGAAGCGGCAAAACTGAGCAGTTATCAGTATTATCTTACGAAACTCATTGACCAAAGAAAACAAGGCCAACTTCTCATCAGCACAAATCTTCACAGCAATTATGTGCCTCATCATCCCATCTTAAAAGATAAGAGTGCAAGCTCAGCATGTTGAAACTAAAAGAACGGTTTTGGTTCCCTCAGTTGTTAGGTGCCCAAATCAAAAAATTGTAAATAGGATTAACATCTCGGAAAAACTGAACACCAATAAATCACTCAAAGATCTTTTGAAAATGTCTCAAACTGAATAATATAAATTGCACTTGATCATTGCTACTGGAATGATCACTTACATTTCATAAAATAGGAAATGCTTCTCTACTTAAGTGCTTTCTTAAAAATTGAGCCTGACTTTTCAAAGGGGTGGGAATTAATAAACATCATGTAATTAAAAAAATTAAATTTTTACTTAGGACTCTAACTTTAGGTAATTACTTTTTAAATGGTAGTAAAACATCTTAGTAACATCATTTCTTTCTATACCTGACAGAAAAGACCTCTCTCTTGAAATGTTCTTGATCAGAATACAGGAAAAGCAATTTTATACCAAAGCAAATCTCTAAAACAATACTTTTATCAAAGCAAACACAGAAAACAATCAAACAAACATCAGATACCAAAACTTCTAAGTTAAAGTCCTGCAATCAAAGGGTTATGTTTCCTTCTATTTGCAGAGCTACTCAATTCCAATTCTACCTCTATATTTTGCTCTCTTTGGAAAAAATCTGTCACCGCCTCCTATTTCAAAAAAATATTTTGCTATATGCCTCACTCTCCGATTCAGGCAGGGTATATGCTGCTGCTTTCCTTCATACATACAGTAATGGAAAAAAACTCTTTCTAAGAGCAGATAAATCCATAGTAATCCAGGAAAAGGTCTTTTCATCTCCACTTCTGCCATTAGGTCAGCAAGACCAGAATTTCTTAAATTATTAGTCACATACTGCAAAACCAGTACAGATGCTCCAAGAAGCAAAGCCTCTAGCTGAGACCTTTTGCATAAGCTCCTACAGAAGCCACTATTGCTATTCCTGATAGTCTTTTTGTCTTAACTGTCTATACTCACATATATTCCAAATGTTAATATAAGAAGACTGGTAAGCTGTTATATTTTTAAAGATCTGCAAGTTATGAAATTAGCCCAAAATTTTTTCATTCCGGCTATCCACAGCATGAAAAATCTAACTGCCTAACTGCTACAGGTCTAAAGAAAGATCAGGTGATGCCTGATACAAATGGCTGCTGAACTTCACTCGAGCGCTTTATGGCCAAGGTATGGTAAACATAAAAAAAGCTATTGCTACAACAAGCAAGGCCTTTCCAAGAAGTGCATGCTCCACATCACAATCTGAATAAAAAGAATATGAATGACAGCTATAGAAATATGGCTCACGAAATAAAAAATTCTGCACAAGAACTGAAGCCTTGTTTCTTAAGTGTTTTTATATTAAAGTTTAAATGAGATTGAAGTGTGAATTACTGTCCTTAAAAGGGAATGCTAGAATGAAGACTATTTCAGTTAGCCAGATTCCTAGTGGGGGAGCATGCCTTTACATTCCTGTTTTCTATTTGAGAATTGTTTGACATTTTTTTTTCTTGTTCTTGGCTTCAGATTGACACATTAAATAAAAACTGAAACCTGGGGACATTTCTCACCAATTAAAGAAATTTTCATCACAGTGCTCAAACCATGTTAGCAATGCTACTTTAGATTATTTGCAGGATATATGGCACTGCTTTGTAAAAGAGTTGAATAAGATGGTGTGGCGAGCTAGACAGGAAAGTTAACGAATTCCTAGAATTATCGGTCCTCATCACTAGGGGAAGATCAGTTCAGCTGGCAAAGGACAAAGGTCTTTTGGAGCAAGCCTGAAAGTCTGCTCTGTTCTATATGTTCATTAAAATAATAATCAGGGGTATGACCTAGTATTTTTATGGTGCGCTTACCCATGGATCCTTTTTCAAGGTGATTTTTACATGGTAGTCCATGATGTTTGTCCTACTTGCCACTTCATACAAAGGTATACCTACATTTTGATGGCTTTGAAGAACACTGAGATCCCACAAAGAAAAAGGGATTAAAGAGGAAGCAATAAGACTAATGTTGGCTAAAAAACCATATTTCAATCCCCTCAAGAACTCTGACTCTTTCTCCATATCCAAATGGTATGCAATAGGATTTTGAAAATGCAGTAGAAAAATATCTGCAGGGTCAGTGGACTGCTATATTCTGTTCTCATAAAAATATATTCAGATCAGCTATGTTATAAACATAGCTCTCTGTTGTCCTCATGAAAGCTTGAGCACAGTCTTATTTTATGTTCTCCAGAACCCTGTTTATCAAGTATGTAGGTGCCTCAGATTTCCCATCACTGAATATACTCCACAGAATAACCACAGAATATTTCACATTCTGATAGAGCCACTCCAGAACGCAGGCAGAAACACTTGATGATAACTATGCCTCTGCTTCCAGAAAAGCAAACACCTATTAATAGAGATTCTTCAGCCATCCTAAGAATACAAGAAATCTTCGTTAGCATCTCAATACTCAGAAATATGATGCAAGATGTAAGCAAAGAGCACAAAACAACAGTCATTCAAGACTAGGGAGAATTACAAATTCAGCTAGTTAACCTTTACTGGTAACAATGTGTATGCTCTGGTATTACATTCTGCCTCTTGTATAATT